CTGCAGACTTGAAGGTCTGCCGAATGAGGACGGTCTCCAGGATGGGATCCAACTCCTCGCCGATGTTTTCGAGAAGGATGGGTCTGCCAAACTGGAGGGCATTCTCCAGGATCCTCAGATAGTTGGGGTCCGTGAGCTTGATCACCGACAGCCCGTTGTCCTTCTCCAGGTTTCGGATCCATTTGTTCGCTTGGCCTGGAGGAGAAATTGCATGATGAGGCATCGATTCTACGTCGTAATAAGAATGGACCCTTTCCTTTGAAGTACACGGAGTAGGGGAAATAACGAAGTTCTTCTATCGATGATGCTCCGATTTTTCTCTTTTGACATTCACAAAAACTTTACGGGCACGCAAAACACACGCAAATTCATCCCCACCGTGGCGTATTTTCGCACTATATAGAAATGCAACATAGAAATATGTTCCGTGACGGATGCTAATCACCACCCAGACTCACCCTGAGGGTCGATCATGAGCGGCCACCGCCTGGCGTGGGTCACGATGATGGCATTGTCGACCGAGAAGACATCGACCGGAAGCCCGGCCAGATGCCATGCCCTAGTCTTCACCGCATCCCCCAGTGTCGAACTTAAATGGAAGGGATTCGAGCACGCCACGCCCACCTGCTCGCACCTTCGCACCCATTCCTCGAGACAGGATTGCCTATGGACGTAACAGGTCACGAGCACTGTACTGATTGCGTCACAACGATGAACTACAGCGCAGATGAACAATGCACGATTGCATTCGAGCTATGGCAAAATGTAGCGGGATCGACGAGTCTGTGGGTTCAAAAACAGAATAATTCATATTTTATCCGTCTATGAAAAGCATACAGCCGAATATTTGAGACCCCAAGAACACCACCGATTAAATATGACAGGACTCCATTTCGCAGTTTGACCTTTAACAAAAAGGGATTAGGGCCCTAAATGTGTATCCCGATTTTAAATTAACGAGTACAGGATGGAGATTTTCTAACGTTTCAGACAAAAACGTGTTCTTATTCTCACTGATGAATATGAGATTAGAAACTTAATTATCCATGTTGACAAAGTATCAACGCAATATGGGACTGTATTTCCGCCGACATGGCCATCGAACAGAAACCGCGCAGCACATCACCTTGTGGTAATGACCCAACCTGAAATCGGCAGTGAAAGGACCCAAGTAGGCGACGACGGCAGCAGCCATGAGGACGTCCCCCATGATGTTATCGTATTTCTCCCCCAGGGCGTGGGCAGCCCGGCTCCAGCGCTCCTTCTCCCCGCCCAGGCCCTCGATCAGCTTCTCGGCCCTGTCCAGCTTCTGGGAGCAGAGGAAGAGCTCGTCCTCCAGCTCCTTCTTCCTCCGGATGTTCGTCGCGAACTCGTCGTTCAGGGCCTGCAGCTTATCCG